CCCCCCGATACCTATTGGATAGGAATCTAGGTGATCCTCAGAGCCGGTCTGAACCCAGAGGCTGGAAGAAAAGTTCTTTACCCCTCCGGGAGGATCGAATCCCATTCGTCCAGCATAGTAGCATACTTAAACTGAGGATTTGCAGGGGTCCAAGAATACGTATGTAATACATTGATTGTAGCTACTTGAATTGTGAGGCAAAATTCTTTATTGCGAACCTTGGCGTTATACTTTACAGACATTACCTTCAGCATTTGTTTTCTTATTTATTTGTAGTTGACCATTTTAAAATTCTACATATCCTCTCGAATTTTCTGTAAACCTTAGACTTTTATGCCTAGTTTGTCATATAATGTAAGGAACAACACGCCCGTTGGAGAGTATGGTTATATATTTATATTAGTTATATGCCGTGTTGTCCTACATGGGAAATTGCCTGCGGCGAGCGACGTCTAAGCAGTTTCACCAACCGGTTCTATGCTTAAGAAATTAATTACAAATCGAAACAGACTATATGGTTTAATACTCGAAAGCTGAAGAAATGTAGAAACATGTCTATCACATGCTGTGTGTAGTATATACAAATTTATATTTTCTAGTTAAGTGTTCAGGAACCCCATGAATGATACTTTTATTTAACTGATGAACTAAGCTAACAGTTGTTAACTCATGCTTATCCACACATGACAGTAAGATTAATATTTATTTAGTATAGCACAGTTTATCAATATCAAAAGTAACCATTTTAAAATTACGTTGTAAATGTGAAAAGCTACTTTAAAATTAAATATCAACATCATCAATTAATATCCGAAATGTCCCACATACCCTAAATGTCCTCCCAAACCTCCTCCGTAGCTACCAAAGTTGCCACCTTTCTTAAACCCACCATGCTGCTGCCCATGGTAACCACCATATTGCTGCTGGTGTCCTAGAGCTGCTTTCTTTCCGTAATCATCGAATGCCTTCTTCTGTCCATAATCTTCATTATCCCCGTAGTATTCTTTATTGCTCTGAGATCCTTTGGCACCATGCTCGTTTTCACTGGCGTAACCCGAATCGTAATGACCTTGCTTGCCTTTGGCGTCTGCGGCGAAGCTACCATCTTGCAACCCTCCTTTGAATGATGATGCACCCTCACCACCGAATGCCCCCTTTTGTCCCTGGTAATCGTAGTGGTCGCCTTCGTCGTTTGATTCGTCAAAGAATGTTGTTGATTTTGAAGATTCGTCTTTATGATGGTAGTTCTGGTAACCTTTGGTGCTGTGGCCCTTCTTGTGGTCCTGGTTGTTTTTCACTTCACCCTGCTTTTTGCCTGGAGACAATAAAGTATGTAATTATTCTGCAAATATTAACATATATAAAAACAAATATTTAGTACTTGTTTTGCATTTTATTTAGTTGTGCCTAAAAGGCAAATTTCTTCTTCTTCTTCGTACAACGTCGGGAAAACATACAGAGGAGTGGAAACAAAGCTCCATGCAACCTTAAACTCCGAACGGCATGGAAGTCAGTGGTTGTCATCCTCCTCCAATTTTCTTACCCTGCTAAAAGATTAACTAGTACCAATTATCATTTGCTTGAGAGCCGACGCGAGTGGGCACCAGAGCTGGTCTGTGCGTGTTGAGGAGGGGACAAATGTGGTGACCCTGCCGGAAATCACCAGCAGTCATCCAGCCCACAGTCAATTACTTCATTGACTGTGACTTCTAAAGCTGAGGGAAGATATAAACTGCAAGTGTTTGAAAGCAATGTGCTCAGGAAAATACTTGGACCTAAGATGTAAGCAGGCTTAAGTGGAAAATGCAAGTTGCTATACAATAAGTAACTTAGTAATGTTTTTACAACTGAGCCTGTGCTATTAGGTTTGTCAAATTAAGGAGGTTACGATGAGCTGGACCCATATAAAGCAGAAAAGATTCTGAACATATTTGTCGCATAGATAAAGAAATACGAAATGCGTACAAGATTTCGGTGGATAAACCAACATCTAGGAGACCAATAATAATACATTCTTACGTTATTATAGGAAAGTGTAAACTGCAAAGGTAATACGTCAAATGAAATGTGAAGATGGTCGGAAGTGGTAAGGATTTTTAGAAGTGGTCATGGCCAATTCCATTGTAACTGTCCGCATTTGTTTGGATGCGTCAGGCAACCGAGATTCCAACTGGCCACATTCCGATTATGGTGGAGGGCTACACCAGTCGGCTTAGTACCGGTGAGGAGATGGGAGGATAAAATTAAATCGATGGCAGGGAAATAGGTTGTCAGAATTTAATTTGCTGGATTTTAATCGTGTATAATCCCGGTTTCTTTTTTCATTTCTTTTTTGTCAGTGCCGTTGAATTTTTGCGTTCTGTTATCCTATACGTCATGGTTTAGTTGGTTAAATAGTCAGCTGGTCAATTTCATAGTCCCTAACTTGGTTAGTTAGGTAATCAGTTACTTAGCCAGTTACAAAAATGTAAGTTAGTAACGAAGAGTAATAACCTTCTGTGAATGAAATAATTAGTGCATTTATAGGTGTTAACGGACATTAACAATTTCAAATGGTCAGTGAGGAATAAAATAAATCTTGCATCTGTGTGGAAGGAACAATCAGATATTTTACTTAAGTGTGCAAATTATGTGTTTGTTCATTTTATTTTCCCGTTTATTAGTCACTCAATGCGACGGTCCAAACAAAATAACCTTTATGTGTGTTGAGAGATTGTCAGGATTAGAACTTTCATTGTCATTTTAGTCTGCTTAACATTGATCACTAGCACAAAAACTAAAAATTTAAAATATGTTTTGAAATCTTTCTCAGCTTTTCCAGCGGTTTTATTTTGTGAATTTCGCTTTACGACAATTCTCAAAGTAATACTTTGGCTACACCTCGCCAAAATGTGGGTGATAAATGTACGCAATGGAAGGTAAATACCAACTCAGAATGAAAATAAAAATTAACGTTAACCAGTAAACTGAGAACATATTCAAGTTTATTAAATATTTATGTACTTTAATATATTTATTGGTAGTGGTCCAATTTCTACACAGGCTCGCAAGTTGCTACCGGTAACAATAGAATTTTAGTTTGTTTACATAACTCCTATCCCAGAACAATTTTAACGAAGTTCGCAGAAAAACGGCAAGGTTGTTAATGAAGTATTATACATTAACTCCGGTATGTATATTTTAAACTTTAATCGTATTCTTGGAGCAGATAGAAGCCTATTCATATATTATATGGGCCTACATAATCAAATAGGTTCACTGTGTATTTCCGGTTCGGTTATTATTTCGAAATAAGCGTGGACTGACCCATTCAATACATGTTTTTCAAACGTCCTTTCTCCTGCTTTTCATGCTTTATTAGTCAAAAAATGATTAAAATAAAGTCGTATATCTTAATATTTTTCATGTATCCATATTTCGTTAAGTGTAAAGTGAACAGAATTTTTTTTAAACAGAAGCAGTAAATTATAATGAGATTACGTATAAATGTTTGCAAAAAGTGACGATTTTCAGAAAATTTATGAAGCTGAATGTTAGCTTCATAAAGTAGGCTTATGGATTTATTGGACCGACGAGGACCAAAATAAAATTACCCCGACTTTTGTAGTAGCCCCGCCCCCCATATTAAATGTCATGAAACTCCGCATCAGTTTCAGACGGATAGATACGACGTCTTTCTAACACAAACATTGCTGCAAGAGGACTCTAGTATTTTATTAAAAATATTTTGTAATTTAAACCAGCATGAAGGCGGCACTTCTAAATTTTTCTTAAAAGTGAACATCTTCGTAAACTGAACATTTCTGGTCAAAGCGCATGTGAACAGCGTGTGTTAACTTTTATATTATCTGTATTAAAATTTAGAATTGTTTAATTACTGAGTCAAGTTCTTATGTACCGATCAATATAAAAAAGTCTGGCAACTTGCACAGTATATATTACAAGTAAACCCATTTTGTTTGCATGAATTTATTTAGTGCACTTTGGTTTTCGGTATTTATTATTGCTAAAGAATTTCATATGAAGCCAATGTACATACTATTCATCACATTAAAATGTACAACTTTTCTCTGAAACACATAACTTCTTTAAATAAATTGAAATGTTCGTAGGACTTTTTACACATTGATTGTGTTATTCCGTTTTTAAACATATATACTGAAGTTAATTTAAGAATTTTCTTAGACTTTTATGTAAATGCATAGTCTGTGTTATACAATTTTGACCAAAGTTGATATCGGCATATAAAGTTCATGAAAGTTTCTTCTTCCTTACTTGGTGTATTTCATGCTGAAGCAGACATGCGGACACGGCGAGGCTTATAGACGCGAAATCCGTGGGCCCATAAAATAGTTTTTTTCTTTTACTTATATCCGAAAATAGTGGCAACTGCGTTCTTTGAAAATACCGTGTAACACGAAAGAAGGTAAATCGATTAATGTTCCTTGACAAATCTGTACAAAAGATTATGTTTCAGTGATGAAATTGGCGATTATGATCTTTTAAGGTTAGTTAAACGTGAACATGTCCTACCTCTGAAAGAAGCCAGAGTGGGCGCGAGGAGCAGGCATGCAATGACGTGACGCTTAAATAGGACAAATTCCTAAGACTGAGTAGGCATAGGCCTATAGGATAACGGACGAACTGAGGACGCATAAAGCAGGGTGTAACATTATGTGTCAGCTACGAAATTATTCTTACCAGACTGCCCAAAGTTTGAAGCACCTTCATAGGCACTCCCTTTCTCATATTTCTTCTTCTCTCCAGCCTCATTACCAAAGAAACCAGAACTTTGCTCATTTTTCTTCTGAGCGTCTTCAGCTCCTGAATATCCCTGAGCGTTCTGGACGGAAGTTAGTCCCTTGTGGCCCGCTCCAGCTTCATAACCTGCTGCTTGATTTTCGGCTCCAACGCCCGACTGCCCCTTGCTGAAACCGCTACCTGCAAGGCTCTTCTGAAGACCTCCTCCAAATCCCCCATAGCCACCGTAATGTCCACCTCCATAGCTCCCAAGAGATCCACCTCCATAATTTCCCAGACCACCAACTCCTAGAAGACCTCCTTTGGGCAAGAACCCTTCACCACCAATCCCGTACCCTATTGGAAAACTTGATGATGTTTTCAGATCCCTTTGGGGCCACGTGTGTCTTAGGTAATACGCCTGTGATTGTTGCGAAATGTCTTCTGATGCTAACGTTGTGTTCAACAATAGTGACAAGAAAACAATTGCAGCTCGAGCAATGCAATTGAAATCCATGATTCTCGCTCGACGTCTACACGTGTTGTTCAGTACACAACAGAACGTTCACTGATGTGCCTGTAACCAAATTCATTATTTATACGAGTTCCTTTATTTTTCACTTCGTTTCATTTGTCGGTTATGAGTTTAAAAAGATTGAGACATGGTTTCTGCAGTTCCATTGTATTTCTGGCGACCTTACACCGGAGGGGATGTGTCTGAAAAGAAGTAACCTTGTGCGATTTGATTAGGTATTGAATCAATTCATAATTAACCGCAGTTCCCGGATGCCAGGGAGTGGCATAACGGCAATCAAATTGTGACTAAAATTGGAGGAGACTGCAGGCGGCTTTGGACAGCGCCAATGAGTCAGAATGTCGCATTAGAAAAGTATTTTGTGAATGCAGTAGTCCGTCGTCAACTTAAACCATGATTGACGAAGCCAGGGCCTACTGGAATTCGAGGAGGGGGTTGAATATGGAATACATCGATAATGTCCCAAAGTAAAAGCTATAGATCAGAACCGTGTTATGTTATGGCTTATACCCACATTTTGTGCAGCTTGAAACAAGTGTAAATTACGATTTGAGCTTCAATAAAGTGAGGATTATAGTGAGCCAGTACGGGCCATAATGAAAATCTCCGGACAACATTTAGTGTGCACCCTTTATGGTATCTAATTTTGTTAGAATGCGATGAGTATTCGTGGGGATGAAAAATGCGGATGGGGACGATAGACACAATCACCTATTATGTCACCGCTTCATATATATCTTGCAAATAATCTCGATATTTCAGCTTCGCAGAATTATACGAATGGAGTTAAGAGAAAGATTCTGTGAGAGTTGCGAAAGAACAACATGTTTTGTGGGGCAAGGAAAACAAAGGAAGTGCAATACCGAACAGATTATGTAACTACACACCATTGCAGACACAAATGTATACTTTCCTCTTTCGTTTTTGCTCTGACTTGTTAGCTTTTTGTAATGTTAACTTTCTTTAGTAGGCTATTGTAATGCCAGTCACAGTCATTGTGAGCATTTTCTGCATAATATTGTCTAATATTTAATTATTATATTTACTGAAACATTTTTGTGCAAATTCTAAAACTGTAGTATGTATATAATCCGTGGAATGTAGGAGGAATGTGAATACCCGATTTGCTAAAATCTAGCGTTCAGATGGGAAGAATGCTCTGACAGTTATTTGCTGTTTGAAATCTCAACACAAATATTACAGTGTTTCCATATGTGCCGATGTCAGTTACTTGCTTGCTTTAGTAAGCATATCTGAATGTCGTACTAAATATTATTCTTTATTAAAATTATTTTATCGTCCATCATCAAATTCGCTGAACGTCGTAGTTGAGGTTATCTCTCCTGTTTCGTATTCAGGAGATCTCGGGTTCATATCTTGGCTCGGAGACCGGCTATCCAGACTCTGTTTTTTCGTGTTTTTCCTCAGTTCCTCCAGGAAAATGCCGGGTTAGTACCTTAAATTACGTCACGGCCGCTTTCTTTGACATGCTTTCAAATTCATTGCTCACTGTGATCCTCTCATCCGACGCTGTTCATGGTGTATGTAAATAAATTTTCTTTACAATTTTACTCGTGAATAAAACTTCATACTGTACTACAGTACAAGAACATTCGTGGAAGAAACTTATTAGGGGCCAGATTTCTCAACACCGTTTTTACAATGCTGAAGTCCAAGTGATGCTACTTCAAAGTAATCAAGGAGATATTTCGAAGGCATACTTACAGTACTCGTAAACACAATCTGTCCTACAGACAATTGAAGTTGAATGTTATCAGCAAAATTCTCTTATGATAGGTGGACTTTGTATTTGCAGTCATTGACACATTTGATACTCGCCGGTTCTGTATCAACCTCTTGTAGTAGTCTATAGAACGGTCTGTGTTTGTTGTGTAATCAAAAAGTTTTGAAGAAAATCGACGCCATGAAGGCCAAGTGACAGACTTTATCGCTGATAATGAATTATTGATACCAACTATAAGTGACTGTTCAAAGTATGTTCTGTTTTCATGAAACTTTTTTGCTTGGTTCTAAATGTCAGCAGTTCCTACTTTTTAGGTGAGATCAGACCGGGCTATGGAGTAGACAGGAAAAAGGTTTCGGAGACTAGTAACATTTTGTCAGCCTGTCAAGCACCATCTGCGATTCTGCCTGAATCTCTTCTATCGTCTCAAATCTCCTTCCCTTTAGCTGAATTTTCATCTTTGGGAAGAGGAAGAAGTCACACGGCGAATAAGGAGGGGGCGGGATGACGGCCATTGTGTTTGAGGCCAAAAACTGCCGAACTTTGAGGGCGGTGTGCGCTGGCGCGTTGTCTTGATGCGTCGCATGTGGAGTTCTTCCTTTAGAATCAGCTGACAGGTCCCAACAATGTCGCACAAGTCGTTGATGGTACGACGTCGATCTTCGTGAATGGCCTGCCGAATCTTCGTACCATTTTCGGGCGTTGTGCTCGAAGATGGTCGTCCAGAAAGCTCGTCATCATCGACAGAGGTTCGGTCATTTTTAAAACGTGAATGCCACACAAAAGTTTGTGCACGACCCATTGCGGACTCCCCAAATGCTTGCTTTAGCATTTCATAGGTTTCCGTAGCCGTTTTGGCGAGTCTTTGGCAAAATTTGATGCACACGCCATTCCGAAATCGCAGGAGGGTCGGTGTAATGCACTACCAAAACAAATGCTAATTCGATGATGCCGGCTGGCACACTGATTCACTATGAATGTAGGCCGCACCCCCTAGCGGCAGAAGCTCGTACTACATCCGGTTCGCCCTCTATTGACACAGTCTTTAAACTTTCCGATCGCACCTCGTATTGTCTGAAGTTATTTATGGTTTCTACGATACGGTATTTTAAAAGTATGTAAGCGTTATTAATATTTCTTAAGAGAACGGGAAAGTTTACAACATGGTAGTTGCGCGAAATATTTTTATTTGTGGGTGGTAATTGACGAATAATAATTGTAACTTGGCCTCTGAAATTTATTATGGCATATGTTACAGACATCGCTAGTGTTACGATTGGTTTTGAAATGTATAGTACTGACTAACCCTTTGGAATCATAAAATGCACTATTGTAGAAGTGTAAACTCTTACAATGCTAATTATCCTTGTATTTTATACAAGCCTAACGTATCTTTGCCGTGTGTTCCGGTTACAAGGATTAAAACCGTTCTCCTTGACGGACCTCCCTTGGGGTAATATTGTTAATCGCCTGAAATAATCCAACTAATCGTAAACCATCGTTGTATTCATTTAATATTTGATAAGGTGGAATTGATTTAATAACGAAATCTATTTAATCGCATTTACTTATCACTAAAAGTGAAAACACTTGAGTTTAAGGAGTGTTGATAGCACAAATTATTCAAACTGGAAATAAATGATTTGCCCCTGATAGAGTAACAGTATCATGAATTATATAAGCGCTGTACATAATGTATTGCTCAGTGAGCTTAATTAATCTCCGCGGCCTTTCATTTATTTTCGGGAATAACAACTGATAATTTGATAGGTTATAGATTGTTTGAAAATTTAAAAAATATAGCTTATATAGTTTCAATAATAGGATTTTCTGAAAATGATGATTAACCTTCAGATTAGGCCTGTTTTGCTACTTTGCTGTCACTTTGGCCTTGATGTTCCGTTTACTGCAGATATAAGCCCATACTTCATTTTAAAGGTTTCTGATTATGGCGCACAAAATTCAGGGTTGAAAAGCTAATTACACGATAAACATCGTACAGCATAGTCAAAAAGGATTGTTCGTTTATATTCTCTTAAATAGGCCTAATTGTGGTCACTAAGTCACGCTTCGGCACGTTGCGTTGTTACGTAAGGCTCAGTTAATTTTGGCAACTTTGCAGTACCTTAGATTACGCTTCGACATGCTGGGTAAGGTTAGAAATTATCGCTTAGGTTATGTTACGATAGGTTGGGTTAGGTTAGGTTGGGTTAGGTTAGGTTAAGTTAGATTAGATTTGGTTGGGTTAGGTTGTTTGTTTAGTGGATTTTGTTAGGTTAGGCAACATTTTGAAATTTTTTGGGCATTTAGACACTTATGGCCACAATTCGTCACGCCGTTACAGTAAGTCATGTCTAGTCACACTTTGTCACGCTTGGTCACGCTTTGTAAATATTTCTCACTTTTCGACACTTCTGGCCACATCTCGTCACGCCGAAACAGTACACCACGCCTTGTCACGCCTGGTCACGCTTAGTCATACTTTTCAAATCTTCGTCGTATTTTAACACTTGTGGTAACCTATCATCACGCCTTTATAGCAAGTTACGCCTAGTCATGCTTTGTCACGCTTGGTCACGCTTTGTAAATATTCGTCACTTGTCAACACATATGGTGATCCCTTGTCATGAAGTCAAAGCAGGTCACACTTGGTCACGTAATGACACGCTTGAGCACGCGTGGTCACTAATTCACGCTTCTGCACGCTTACGTTATGTTACGTAAGGCTCAGTTAATTTTGGCTACAATGCGATACGTTACATTAAGTTTCGTCATGTTGGGTTAGGTTGGAAATGTTCGCTTAGGTTAGGATTGGCTGGGTTAGGTTGGGTTGGGTTAAGTTAGTTTAGGTTAGGTTTGGTTGGGTTAGATTAACTTTGTTTAGAGGATTTTGTTAGGTTAGGCAACGTTTTGAAACTATTTTGACCTTTTGTCATTTATGGCTACAATTCGCCGCGTCGTTTCAGTACGTCACGCCTAGTCACGCTTTGTCACGCTTGAGCACGCTTCGTCAGTCTTAGACACACTTTTCAAATTTGCATCGAATTTTAACACTTACGTATGGTGACTTCTCGTCAAGCCTTTATAGCAGGTCACGCCTAGTCACGCTTCGTCACGTTTGATCACGCTTTGTAAATATTCGTCAAGTTTCGACACATGGTGATCCATTGTCACGAAGGCAAAGCAGGTCACGCAATATCACGCTTGGGCACGCGTGGTCTCTAAGTCACGTTTCGGCACGCTTACGTTATGTTACGTAAGGCTCGGTTAATTTTTGGTAATTTACAATTAGTTAGATTAAGTTACGACTGGTTAGTTTATGATGGGTTGGGTTAGGTTAAGCTATGTTAATTTAAGTTAGTTTAGGTTAGGTTTATTTAGGTTAGATTAGTTTGTTAGATTAGGTAACGTTTTGAATGTAGTCACGTTTCGGCACTTATGGCCACGTCTCGTCACGCCGTTACGTTACGTCACGCGTGGTCACGTTTTGTCACGCTTGGTCACGCTTTTAAAATCTTGGTGTTGTTTTAACACTTAAGGTGTTCTCTCGTTATACTTTCAAAGAGGTCTCGCCTAGTCACGCTTTATCATTAATATATATAATTGAGGATAATAGGGGCGACTGCAGCAGGGGTAGTGATGAATCGAGTTATATGTCTGTGAGGAGTTGAAGAATTGAAAGAGGACCGAAGAGTTGTGAAGCAGATAAAATTGTCTAATACTCTCTGCAGTTTGAATTTTCTAGTGATGTGTACTATAGTGAAATCTACTTTTCTGTTACATACCGTGGTGATATTTTATTTGGAGTGTACTGTGTGTGGCCTGCTGCTATCCCTTCCAGCAAACGTCTGGTAAGTGACTGGCTCCGAGGTTCCAATTCACAAAGCTCAGCGGCCAAAAACACTGGAACGCAGTATACAATATAACATTCCAGGCTTTCGCAGGTCATTCTTTTTTCACAAGGGAAATGCTATATATAGTTCTGCTTATCTTATGCTCGGGACGCAGTCGCGAAATTGAGAATTAACACAGAGAGATGTGACGCTGTTTTTGCGTTGCGTTTGCCCAGCGAATTACGATGGGACTGTCAGCGGAAATTTAGTGGGAATCGCCATCAGGTGCTTCAGATGTCAACTTAATCTAAATATTATTAGAGCGTGGTAATATAATTCATTGAAGGGTTATTGGCATTTGTACATTGAAACGAACGTGTGTTAATGATACTATAGTCAAGGCATATTGTAAATAGACCGGACTTCATTCGGGCTGAAATAAAAGAAAGTCGGGCTTTAGTAGGGTATGGGTAACTTATTTGCAAATGATCTTCGGACTCCGGCTAAATGTTCGTCGGGTCAGGCCGGGCAAAATTCTAAAATTTCGGCCCATGCGGACCTCTACTCTGCAACCAGAAATTTGCCCATCGCTGGACTATTTCCGGTTTATTTATCGAAGGCAGATCTCTAGTAACCACTGTTGTTAAACCTAATAACCGCAGTACTATGACATTTTTATCGTTCGTTAAATCGATAACGAGAATTACGTTTTATTATTTAACCTGTAGACGGGTGAAATGGAGGTTTTGAGTGATTGGTGTTGAAAATATTTAATCTGTAGGGGAGACTGGGGCTAGTTCTTACAATTTTAAATTACAATTTTTTGTACATTTATTCTTAAAATTTACAAAGTTAGCAATTATTGCTTCAGTTACTACTACTATTCGTCCTCGCCAACTCCATTGTCAGGACTATAAGGTAAGCTTTGTTCGCAGGAAAGAAAACACTAAGAAATCATTGTGTGCCATCCACGACCTGAAGTTACTTCGTACAACATGTAATTCAGAATTGGATGATAAATTATTTTTGCTTTAAATTAATTGGGAAAGTCATTATTTGAATGTACCAGTGTTACTGACCTCTCCTTGCCACTCCCACTCTCAGCTTAAATGCAGACTTGTGTTTACTTTGTCGATGCCGGTTAAGCAGTCAACAGAATACTTAATTAGATGTTAATCTATCCTGCTATCTACTTGTTACCCTAGTGTGATTCATCGGTGATAAAGCGTAAAGTCAATATTACTATAGCACATTTTGTTACGTAAATTATGTAACGAGATCAGCTTTTATACATTTACACGTGTGCATACGTGAATTGTTCACCCCCAGACAATATGATCTTCTAAAGAAGATGAGCGTACTGATGTATGAATCTCGTACAGTGTGAAATGGGGAGGAAAGATATACTACTGATTGTACTCATGTTTTCCAGGTTCATTATTTACTATCTGTTGCCCTTTATGTTCGTTTCTAGAATTTTCAAACCTGTTTCTGCACATATGAATCTGTTGTCATTATTATCAACTACTACAACTATTAACCCGTTCCGGGACAGTTGCTCAAGGCAAGTTGTCGTTATTAGTCTTGTAGGGTGCATTTGAGTAGTGAGTGTCAAGTCCACTGCCTCTGCAAAATTTCTACTCAATCCTGATTTGTTTCGTAGAGCCATCTAGTAGAGAATCAGGAGAGACATGGGTGAGAAATGGCCGCTGAATTTTGCATACGAAACATCTCGTATCATGCTCGTAATGTTCTTTTACGTGCCGTAAATCTACGACATGGGACCGCCGAAAGTTGGCTACGGACTTTTGCCACCCTTAAAAATCCACCGATCTATGCCGGGTTTGAACCCGCGAATCTTGGGTCCAGTGGCGAGCACCGAGGGCGACAAAGCTAATTACACATCATATAGAGTCATGAATTATTTTGATAAACAGGGGAATAAAAATGTTTCAAACATCGACCAGACTACACAGCGCAACAACCCAGAAGACAGAAATCTTCATACTAAGAATCGCCCTGATGACGGAGGCAGTATGACCTCAGAAACGTTGGTAAACATCTACTAGACTACACAGCGCAACAACCCAGAAGACAGAAATCTTCATACTAAGAATCGCCCTGATGACGGAGGCAGTATGACCTCAGAAACGTTGGTAAACATCTACTAGACTACACAGCGCAACAACCCAGAAGACAGAAATCTTCATACTAAGAATCGCCCTGATGACGGAGGCAGTATGACCTCAGACACGTTGGTAAACATCGACCAGACTACACAGCGCAACAACCCAGAAGACAGAAATCTTCATACTAAGAATCTCCCTGATGACGGAGGCAGTATGACCTCAGAAACGTTGGTAAACATCGACCAGACTACACAGCGCAACAACCCAGAAGACGGAAATCTTCACCTATATTCGACATAATTTACCACATACCAAATGTTGCAGGCAAGCGAGTAGAATACCTGCTTCGTTTTCTGGATATTCCAGATTCAAATCTCGGCTTGGAGGCCGGCTATCCTGATTGTGGATTTTGTGATTTTTGCACACTTTGCGTTTCAGCCTATAACAGACGCAAAATAGTCGTTTCTGCATCGTAAAATAAACCATAAAGGAATACACAAATTCTAAAGGTGCATTTTACGCCGCATTCTGGACCTTTATTTTTCTTTTTGTGGAGACTGCCACATGAATACCTATAAAGACTCTGAGACATGCCGTCATCAGAGACCAAGAAGTCATCACGAATGCATAGACAATAATGGGCAGTGACGTTCTCATTGTCCCACTTCACGAATTTGAGCTTCCATTACCTTTGTATTCTAAATTTCAGGAAATTATAAAGCACTGTTTTATTGGGTTCAAATGGCATAATCTATATACGAATTTTATGAAAATCCGTTTATCCTCTCCCGAGCCGACAGCTGGCAGCACGACCTTTTCAAATGAAGGACACAGTATACAAACATTAATGGGCCAACAAAGTGTTCTGCGCTCATGATAAAGCGTGAATAACTGCTTAAAATTTGAAATCTACTTCTAGTTTGGCAAATAAATCAGAGGAGAAGCCAAAATACACTCATGACATCTTAATGCAGCTGTAGTGTAAAGTAAAGCTGTCCCACTATACGCCATGCAGGCACTTGAGGGGGAGAGTTATTATATTTCCTACTCATTCTTGACTTCGGCACAAGAGGGGGGCAAGTGTGCAGCATCACGACCCGGCCACGCTTTACCCCCGGAAAAGGACCCCGGTACCATTGGATAGGAGGCTGGGGGGACCCACAATCAGTTTGGACACAGAGGCTAGAGGAAAAATCCTCTGCCCCCGTTGGGGATCGAATCCCAGTAGTCCGGCCCGTAGCCTGTCACTATACTGACTGAGCTACGCCGGCTAATAGCTGTAGTGTAGCTACTTGAACTGAGTACACACAAATCGTGAAAGATGTCGCTAATTGCTAGTCGCTCATGCGAACCATGTGTTGGTACCATTGTGTCGTCATCACTAATGCTGTCGTCCTCACAGTTTCACCAATATTGGAACACAAACTTTGTTTTCATTAGTAGCGAAAGGAGTTGATCGCTGGTTTGGTGTTACATGCTCGTTGTTAGTGTTTTTTTTAGCTGTGCTTGTTCCATTGAACATTAATTTTATCTGTCATAATTTAACGTACATAATAATGTCAGAAGAAAGGGATGCAAATATTCAAGAGTTTAAACTAGAACCTGACTGCGAATTGAGATTTGAAGTGGAAAGTAAAAATGAAAAAGTAATATTGGAAGTAAGTTGAATGATGTATTGCTTAACCTCAATTTTTGGAGTTGTATTTCCTACCGTTGACAGTTGTACTTGTGTAATTCCTGTGTAATACACTTCTTTCAGCTAAAGAGCGGAATGGCAGAGGTGTTTGGAACTGAACTTGTGAAGGGAAAAGGTTATGTATTCACAACAGGTGCGAAGGTAGCTGTGTTTACATGGCAAGGGTGTGTTATTGAATTGAGAGGGAAAACGGACGTTAGTTATGTTGCGAAGGAAACACCCGTGGTAAGTTGATTATGTGACAAAAACTCGAAAACTCTTTGAAGTGGTGTTGGCAGCTTTTATCAAACTTTGTTTACCCCTCACAGGTTATGTATCTCAATGCACATGCAGCATTGGAGCAGCTAAGAAAGAAAGCTGAAACAGAAAACAGCAGAGGTCCAGTAACAATGATTGTAGGTCCAATGGATGTTGGTAAATCAACATTATGTAGGTTGCTTCTAAACTATGCTGTTCGAATGGGACGCAGGCCAATACTTGTTGATCTGGATGTTGGGCAAGGCCAGATATCTGTCCCAGGCACAATTGGTGAGGATCAGTTTCCGTTATTTGTATTTGTTCTGTTCCACACTCTGAGTGATGTTTACTGTTTCAGAAATTTCTTCTTATTCACATAGGTCTTTAGAAGGATAAGAGAAATATAACCTGAACAGAATTTTGGTAGACATATTGCAATTATTAAAATAAGAAATTTTCACTCATGATTACATGTTTATATTACAGATGTTGAATGTAAAAAGAGCACTTCATGGATTCCATTAATAAGAAAACCTACAAAAAGTTTCATGGTTTTGAATCTAGGAGTTTTTATTTTGCATAAATATATGTTATGATAATATTTTATACTGTTACTGACAATTTTTTTATGCCACATAGTTTGTAAATAAGAATACATATTATATCATACAAGACTAACTTATTTTTTGTAAAAAATATGAAAATCACTCTTTATTTTTTTCCCATAACTATATAGATCTTGAAGCAGTGCTGACTAAATTTAGAACAAGTGGTATAGATAGCTATTTTAGTTACAGCACCATCTAATACCACTTAGATATTATGATGTAATGGAGACATTGCCACTTATTATTGTATGAGGTCTGACAAGCAATCTAAATAAAGAAGTTTATATGTTTGTGCCCCTCAGAATTGTAGGTGTAAGGGTTAATATAATTTTGATGACAATTTCAATGACATATGTAGAGAGTAAATTAATGTGCTTATAGCCAGAATAATATAATTAGTGAGTATGATGACTGGTTTTGGACTGAAGACATTTAGGTTCCTTGTATTTCAACAGGTGCACTATTAGTAGAGAGACCTGCTGCTGTTGAGGAAGGTTTCTCTCAGCAAGCTCCACTAGTTTACCACTATGGACACAAGTCACCAAGTACCAATCTTGCCCTTTACAACATGTTAGTGTCACGACTAGCTGAAGTAATTTCAGAAAGAATGCAGGCTAACAGGAAAGGTAAGCTGTTGAAATGAGGCATGATACCAACAGTTCTGATACTGCTACTTTTATGCACTATTTCAGACTGATCTCTGTCAGAGTAGTTTGATATTTACCACAGATCTAGTATTTAGTGTACATATTTCAGAGATAATGTTTAAAGAGGATTTGGTGTTTATTCATGTATCTGTGAAAACTACTCTGCAGATTTTGATGACACTTGCTGCTGTTAGGGGAGGGCTGTCTTCATTGAGAGTTGCCAAGAAAATGTCATTATGATCTGTATTTGTATGTATAACCACAACTTTATTTGAACAAAATTTAATGACATTTCTCAAAAGTGGTTCATCATATGAAGAAATGGTAGATTACATGTAGATTTAATCAAGATCTGTCTTTTTTATGTGAAATGCTTTTATATAGTTTATACATACCAAAAATGTAAGTCCATGTACAATGTACTGTCCACAGACCAGGAGAAAAGCCCTGTGGGGGGAAGTCGTTTCTAAGGCGGTGCAGGGGGAATGTTTACTATCAAGTGGACTAGAGGGTTGCTATTGGTGGGAAGTGTAATATGTCAAATTTTTACATTACTACACAGAGTGGCTATTATTTCGAATATGAAACATTTGCGACCCCATGTTCATAGGAACATTTTTTCATATTTTTGATCCTGGAACATGCACACAAAGTTTGTAAACATACTTCTGACTCATCCTGTATAGCAGTCATCCTATTGTGGGTTTTATTATAAAATAGTGTTTGCATTTCTTCCTGTATGTTGCAATCAGTCATAAATTTCATTGATGAATGCTTTGCTATTCTTTAAATCATAAATTCTCTTTGTATAAATATTTGAAATCAGCAAATTTATGAACTTCTGAATGTAAAGTTATGTCAAATTGTACTGATACATGAGACATTTTGAACATGTTATAATAGGCAGCCACACATACGTGAGTGCTGCAAGAGGACTTGGATGTAAAAAGAAAGTAATTAACATTTATTTTTAATTCACACAACATAATTAACAAACTGTAAAAGTTTGTGGCATGTAACAAATTGATCCATGTTGCATATATTGATATATGATTGAACCTATTGTAAATTTGATGTAAATAATCATAATTTTTATATAATCTGAGCGTATTATCAATAAATATACCATAAACCCCCAGTATGCCATTTTCAGAAAGCAAGTTTCAGTGAAGAATTTGTGAAATTAAGTTAAGAGATGTGTGGACCCTAATGGGATAAAATGTTGGAACGTTACATATTTTCTGCATTTAAAATTATCATCATTGTTTGTACTAGCAAATGCTTCTGGTGTGATCATCAATACCTGTGGATGGGTGAAGGGTGATGGATATAAACAATTGACCCATGTTGCTCAAGCTTTTGAGGTGGACATCATTCTAGTCCTGGATCAGGAACGGCTGTACAATGAACTTGTGCGTGACATGCCAACCTTTGTGAAGGTTGTTTTCCTACCAAAGAATGGAGGTGTAAGTTGTTCAGTCTTCTTTATCTGCAGTAACAAGATAACACTAATCCTCCTGTAGGTGTTCAACACTCCTAATACACTAAGCATGCTTCAAATGTAGGGAACAGAACCACATTCCATTTTCTGGATCATTCTTTTACCACTGTAGGGAATGGATTAAAACGTTATTGTTGAATTATTCCTGCCCTAATTTAATCACAATTTCATTTCTATTTAATATTGTTGTTCTTAGATATTTATCATTTGAAAAACAAATCCTTTTTATAACAGTATCCATAATTCTTATACCAAATTACTGCATGTTAAATGTCAAAATAGTCACTGAACGATTCTTGTGACAATTTTTGTTCCTTATGTTACTGTTTGATATCTTTGTGAAATGCACAGAAAGTGTATATAAAAAAATGGTTTTGAAAGACTAAGTTATGAGTGGTAAGAACTGAATAAAATTATTTCCCACTTCTTTATTTTCAGTAATTTTTATAGTATTTAATTTGTTATACATCCCAGCAAACATTTAAGAGCATCTCATATTTAAGAACATACTCTTGTGGGAATCCTGTCTGTACTGTTTTATTTCTTATGCAGTTTTCCTATGTACCAAGTAAGTATTAATCAAGTACCTGTTGCGGTTAACGAACGATTAAAAATTACTGCTGCAGCATACATATAGTAATTCAAAAGATCAAGGGTTAGGATGCATCTCTTAAAACTTCTCATATTTAAATGCACACACCTCCACGTCTGTTTTGTTATCACAAATGAGGCTAGTAACAAGGTCATGGTTATATAACTGTTACATACGATGTGAAGGAAAAATCACAAATGACCAGTGCAGTTAATTTTATATTTTAGTTGAATTGACTATGAACTTGGAAACCAATCATTCACCCAGTCAGAATGACAGATTTTACATACAAAGATTATACTTTATATTTATAGGTTGTTGAACGCAGTCAGAGTGCACGAGCAGAAGCAAGAGATGCCAGAGTACGTGAATATTTCTATGGTTTGCGTACACCATTATATCCTCATTCATTTGATGTCCGCTTCTCTGATGCTAAGATCTACAAGATTGGTGCTCCAGCGTTGCCAGACTCCTGTATGCCTCTTGGAATGAAGGCAGAAGATAACCTCACCAAACTGGTAGCCGTGACACCAGGTAGATGTTATTTCTTTGTGCATTTAACAGTGTTGTATCAATTTCAGAGATTATATAGCATCATAAACAAAGATATGTGGTTTAATCCTTTGCCACACTTTACTCTTCAACTCCATGGCACATATGTATCATGCCAGCCTTTCTTTTAGATGTTGATATCTGATGTACATAGCACACATAATGTAGTGTTAAAATCCAGCTCATATTGTGGATTGTTTTTTTTTATGTAACTTAATTATTTTTGTATGAAATCACAGGCAAAATGTGGGCTTTCAGTTTGGAAATGTGCATGTGTATAGTCACAAATTAATTTACAATATAAAGCTTTGGAATAGTTCTCATCCTGTCTGGTTGGTGTTTAACATTACAGTTAGAATCTAACTATATCATGGGGGATTTCTGCATGTTGATTGAAACAAAAATCAACCTTTTTGTTGGTTTAGAATCATTTGGTGATGTAGACAATGCTGTATATATGTAGGTATTTGTAACAATGAGAGTAACACTTTTACAAGTGTCCTGTCATTAAATGCACACACATTACCCAGGCACCATGTACTCAGAAGTCATGGCATCTAGTAGCACGTAGTGATCAGCTGTTTTATGTGATGAAGAAGTGAGATCATGATTACATTCAAAATATTGTTTGGGATAACATGGAACATTACAAGGGACAAAGCTAAAATTTCTCAGAAAGTGTCAGACATCAAGATGCTGCAGAACGTGACAGATATTGTGGATATTTTCAGTTGTTTTGCAACAAAGAGCAGGTTAAATTGTTGAAGAGACAATTATTTATGCTGAACAGTGTCTATATGGGTGTAAATTATCAAACAGGCCAACTGGCAGGGCAAGTAAACCTGTGATGGAGGGAGATGTGGTGTTGTATTTGGCTTCTTTTTGCTTATGGGTGTTACAACAAGAGACAGACTGGAACTAATTTGTAAATGTTTGCATTTTGCAAACAGTGAAACCATTAACAATTTTGAAGGATCAATGAAACTTGTTAAATGTTTTCTTGTAATTCCACATCTGAATAATAGATTTTAGGATGTGTATTTCCAAAATAAGGACATGTTAATTGATGAATTACTGATGCTTAGGAAAAACCTTTTATGTTTCAAACATAATCTCCCTCTGAAGTTCTTGAACTTTGCAATAAAAACTTGGCAACTTTGTGACCTGACTTTGGGTACTTAAGACATTGAAACTATATCTGTTGTTCCAAATCTGGTAGAGCCTCTCTTGAAACAGGGCGAGACTGTGTGGTTGTATAAATATTGTAATTAACCCTGTATAGCCAAATTATTTAAGACTACACAAAACAGACTGTGTCAGCAGACTTGAATTCAACTGGAAAAGAGTTTTGAAAAAGTGAATGTTGCTAAATTTAAAAAATGTAATCTTATAGCATAGCATTCTGTTCCTGTTTTTTTACAAGGTGTAGAGTCAGTTTTTGCAATTTCAAATTTTCCCACCTTTAAATGTTTTCTGTCTGCAGGAATAAGTAGGATTTAATATCCCATGGCATGGCATGGCATTGTACTAACACGTAGTGGAAATAAAAGGAGGACATTTAAAATAACTTGCTCAAGAGTGTCAGGATTATGGTTAATGTAAGTGGCATAGCAAGGTAAATTTCAACATATGAAATGCAGAGAATATCATATGTGGAATCTGGATATTATGATGCATGAACAGCCTAGTTTGTTTAAGATTCATTCTGAACTGTATAAATTTTTAGGTTATGCAACTTCTATTGATTGCATTTAGTTGCAGACCTTTTATTAAATTATGTCTCTTAACTGCACTCTGTTCATGAATCTAGTTAGTTTCTCAAATCAGAGGAATTTACTTCGGTGCATAAGGACAGGAACAAAACATGAGATATCTTATTGATTTTCAGGACCAAATCTGCTGCATCATCTATTAGCTGTAAGTTTTGCTGCCTCAGTAGAAGAAGATGTGATTCAAAGTAATGTTGCTGGCTTTGTTTGTGTGTAAGTAAAAGTATAGAAAAATATGTTTATAAAATTTGTAACCATGAAGCTGTTAGTCCTGTTTCTATGTACACTTCTCTTGTTATTGTTGTGAAGGGGTAAGACTATCTCAATGGAAGTGTGGCTGCTAACAGGCCGATTACCTTTCCCCCAGATTATATATGAATTTGGAGCAATGGTGGACTGACATGGGCCGAGGAAAACCAAAGAACTTAGTGTAAAGCCTGTCCCAGTTCCACTTTGTCCACTTCAGATCACACATGGGCTGACGACTGGAGTGTGTACCCAGGTTGTCACAGTGATAGGCTGGTCACAAATAGCCTGAGCTATGGCATGGCTACTACACTTTTCTGTGTTTCTGCCTTCAAAACTTGTATGCAAAAATTAAATACCTCCTGTATTAACACTTCAAAAAAATCATGTTTCACTTGATATAGTATATTTCCATATCATATACCACATCATGACTTAAGATGTTTGGTTGGATGTTGTGAATGAATTATGTGCTTAGTTGTGGCCTTGTCTAAGTGCAGGTTTCAACTATAAAGCATTGAATTACTACAGAAGTAAGGTTTATTGTTGCAAACAAGATTCAGAGTTTGGCAGGCAAAACATAAAACACAAAATCATGGATATCTAACATGTCTTTACAACACACATGGTTCCAAAACAATAATTTCATGCCCCCCCCCCCCCACA